AAAAGAGTAAAATATTAATTGTTTACCGATGGGCCTAGCTCAGTTGGTACACCCAATGGACTGCTGAAATACAGTCCCAAGTTAGAATCCAGATGCAATCAGACAAACAGAATGAAATAATTCAGAATTACTTCGAGGACCTGGATTACCTGGAGCCGGTCAGCTCAGCAATGATGCCTAAAGGATGATATTACACCCAATGAACTGTTGAAATAGAGACCCAAGTTCAAACCCAGGCGCAAATCCATGCAATCAGATAAACAGAAAGAAATAATTCGGAATTATGGTCAATTACCTGTATTACCTGAGGCCGGTCAGCTCAATGATGATACCCATTGCCGTGTCATTTGAAAGAAAAAAAGGAAAAAAAGAAATTTATTCAATTTATTGAATTTTATTGAATCTTATTGTTTGGCATAGAAGTATGATGACAACCCGTAAGGCGGAAGCCAACGCCCAAAATTTGAAAAGGATGATATCCAATGGAGAGCAGCATGAATTCACAAAGACCAATCTCTCGCCAAAACATCCAGGGCATAACAGCCATCATGCAAAGAGAATGTGGTGGATTAAGTAAGTGACAACAAAGAGGAAAAGCAGGTCAAGGCAGGCACAAGGGAGCTGCATCCTGATTTTTAAACGATGATGCAAAATCAAGCTACACTGTAACAAAGGTAAAAGGTGCACAAACGGCTTGCTACGAAGAGAATGTGGAGGATTAAGTAACAGCGCAGAGAGAAAACTGGTGAAGATAGGCATACAAGAGTCACATCCTGATTTTTCGAACATGATGCAGCATCACGCTATGTGGTAACAAAGGCTGACGGTGCACAAATGGCTGGCCACAAACAACCTACTCTCTCTCTCTCTCTCTCTCTCTCTCTCTCTCTCTCTCTCTCTCTCTCGCGCGCGCGCGCGCGCGCATATCCCAGCTCTCTCCCTAAGTTCGCCCCTCCCTCTCTGCCTTTGTCTTGTCTATCCGCACCTCGAGACGAGTAGAATGTAGGAAGAAGAAAGAGCAGAATCAACTTTCACATACCGCAGCTTCTTGTGTCTTGATCTGGCTTCCGCTAGCCTTGGCAGCAGCAAGCTTTCCTTTCCACACCTTGTTTAGGCCCTTGTACTCATACCTACGATCACGAAAACTATAGTTCCACCGAAAATAATTTGTCACTGGCCGCAATTTTGAGAAGCCTGATACTGAATTTTGGTCGATAACTTGGCAGTAATTCTGAAAAAATGGGCCACCTGAACCACCTCACATGCGTCAAAAACTTGAAAATTTTGAAAACAAAACTGGGCTACCAGACTGGCAAATGAAAAAATATATATATATATTTTAGTTTTCTTTTTGTTCTCAATTTCGTAAAGAATTTGGATGTCAACCCGGGGTAGAAGTTGTTCAGTTTACTTTCCTGCATAACATATATTTTTTTCTGGTTTTTGGATTCTGTTTTTCTTTCACTTTTTTTGGCAGGGAGGTTCCCTGGCCCTTGCCCGGCCAAGCTGCCCGGGCAACCAAGTGACCCAGTCAGCCTGGTTGCTCGCCCAGAAACATAATCAAAATGATCTGGAAAAAGAAAAAATTGCTAGAAAAAATAAATTCGTGCAGAATTGCAACCCGAACAAGTTTTGGCCGAGGGTCACTCCAAAATAGAAATTAAATTGAGGCACACCCCGCTAGGCCCCTTTAAAGTTCTAACCCATTTAAAGTTTAAACCAGGGCTGGTCGCCGGATGGACCGGGGACCCCTACCCCATCCGCGGTCCTTCCAGTTGGACCGGCCGGTGGCCCGGGCCGGTTCCCTCCCGGTTGCCCCCAGCGCATTTTCGCTGGGGGCTGAAACTTTTTTTTTGTCGGCGCGTATGTGTTCCCAAGGCCTCGTGGGGCCGGGCCCTGCCCCGCAATTTCGAAACCGGGTCCTGTAGGCCCGGATTTTTCAAGTACAGAAAGTGGCCAATCTTGGCCGCCGATCGTCGCAGATCAGCGGCAAAGATCGGCCAGGACCCCATTTCTATAAGAAAAACGGGCAGACGATATCCGCCGCTGATCTAAGCAGATCCGCAGCGGAGAACAGCCATTCGTTTTTCCTAAGATGTGGGTCGGGTAGACCCCTAATCCAATTTGTCATCTTGTGGTCCAATGGACCAGTTACCATTGGCAACATCTGATGCTCTTTCACCCTCAGCCACGAGGGGAACACTATGCTTCTGATGAGACTCTGCTGAGATTATATCCTTCTGCGACGTCCCTGCCATCTATGGAAAAAAGTTATGGGTTCGGATTTTGGAATCGTGATTTCAGAGCCGTCCGAGGTGCAATCCCAAGAATGGACTTAAAATACAGGGCGTTGCTGCACTACTCTCGACATGCACAAAAGACAAAAATCTTGGCGGTGTATCTTTCTGAATTCTAGCGGAAGATTCACTCTCGTTTTGCACATGTCGAGAGTAGTGCAGCGAGGCCCATATTCTTCTCTCTATCTATCTCGAATGGACCTTGC